TCCAAACCATACGCATATGTGTATACACGAATTAGCTCGTTTAAAACACCATGGCGCGACTCGTTTTAAGCTTTTTTTTTTTTTTTTTTTTTTGTTTCCTTTTGCCCCTTGATCTTCTAACCAATTCAGCAATGATACCAAACCGGAGACCAACTAAATGCCTCTATTTTATTTAAAGCTATACATAGTAATTAAAATTTTTGTTTGCTTAATTTCTGCTCACTTTTTTTTTTTTTTTTTTTTTTGTGCTAAATGGGCAGTTATTCCAAAGCGCTTGTGTGTACACGCATACGTGTTATGCACATGCGCATACAGTTCGCTTTAACATATGCACAATGGTGATGATTTTTTTTTATAAAATGTCATCTGCCTTGCTGTCTTTCTTAGGAGTCCATACATGTGCATGTTATTTTTCCCCTTCACAGAGTGCGAAAGGGCTATGTTTGCTTTTCCAATCCCCTTAACTCCGCTCCCACATCTGGGTGTACGGGGAGGGTATTCCCTGCGAGTAACGGGGCGTCTACCACTGAGTGTTCAACTTCTCCTCAACGCTTTAAACATTTGAGAGGCATTTTTTTGCAACATTTTCGAAATAGTTAATGAGAAAATTTTGCACAAATTGTTTCCCCTCATTTTTATGCCCTGTTAAGTCGTCATTCGAGTTCAATGCAAAATTCATTTCGCTTCAATATTTTTCTTCTTCCTTGTCTTACCACCAAGTTGCTTAGCCTAGTTTGAATCATTTCTCTTTAATTCGATGCAATAATCAAGCCGTACAATTGCAAGAGCTCCTCCTAGAGATGGCTCTCTGCGCATGTGCGCTTGCGCGCTTTGTGTAACTCCACTTCGCCGTACTCTCCTCTAATGCATATGTTGTTAACCCATTTTTATAAACCTGTACATGTGTATGACCGCGTTTGTATATGGTGTGTACCGCAATATCCACAAGAAAGATTCATCTCCTGCGTGTGAATATGCTCCTAATTCTGCGCGCCTCCCTGCCTGTGTGCAAGTTGGGGATGGACATACGCTTACCTACTATAGGGTGACGAAGTAGGAGGAGAAACGTTCACCTCCGCCCCCGTCCCCGCCGCTACGCTACGATACGCTACGATACGCTACGACACGATACGACACGATACAGTACTAGCCAAAATGGAGAACTCCGTGAGACACTCAGTCGACATAAAATCGGAAGACTTCGTCGTCCTGATTTCGCTCCAAAACCTACAGACCTTCATCATGATAGGATACACAGCCGTGAATAAAGACCACCTGAACTTTGACTTCTCCTACCTGTGGGCACTCTGCATTGGGACCGGTCTTTTCATATACTCCCTGATGAGCTTCGTTCTCATAAGGTCCCTTGTGCTCTCAAAGATAGACATCGGAAAATATGTGCTCGAGTTGCTATTCAGTTTGAGTATAATTGTTACGTGTACGTTGTCCATAATAATTGACTCGTTCAAAATTGCAAACATGCAGTTGCTTTTTTTTTCATTCGCTTTAACAGGTTATGCCTACTACAATTTGATAAGCCTCTTCTTTCTGTGCACACTGACAGGAATGATCATTCAATATAATTTAAGTTTCACTGGGTTCATAGCCCATTCGAATTCTTCCTTCTTCTTGGACATGATATCCTACCTAGTACAAATTATTGGTGGAAACATTTTATACTTTCGCATGTATGAATTGTGCACTCTAATCGTCATTTCGAAGAGGAACCCATGCAAGTATGTCGTTGCATCGAGAGAAGTGAAACAAGTAGAGAAACAAATTTTCTCATCCTTATTCAATACTTACATGTCCGTCAAGTCAAAAACGTATTCAGATTTAGCATGCACTAATGAACTTTTAAATAAAGAGCGTCAATCTATTGTCGGTAAGGATACTCAACATAAGTGGAATTCCCACGTTGGTGCTTCCTACCAGGACAAGATCAACCACACAAAGAAGTTACTACGTGGACGAAGCAAAAGGGACAAACGAAATGCAAAGGGGACTGGTAGACTAACATGTGGGAAACACACCCCCTACCATAATAGCAGAAGCCTTGCCAATTGTGACACCAAACATACCTCCAGCTGCACAAATAACTTTAGAATATCTAACACCCTTTCACTTAAAAATAATGTAAACCCTAACCTAACCTCAGAACCTTCTATCCCCATTTGTGAAAAATGCGTTTCGCAAAAATATAGACATAAGGATAATGCACACAAACACCGGCAAGAGAAAATAAAATCTAAATCTTCCATCAAGTCAGACAATGTAAATAAGGCAAACGAGTTAGACAATCATGGAGTGGACCCAACATGCGTCACTAATCCTATATACGCAAGTAATACCCACGGGGAGGATGTCAACCGGGGGGGGAACAGCACGTCTAGAGGACACCCCCAACATGATGAAATGCTCATCCCAATTACGGGAACTGACTGTGATAAAAATGCAGTCCCCACGAGCAACTCGAACGCTAGTTGGATCAAGTACGCTGCGGTGATTGACATGCCGGGCAAGGCGAAGCAGAAAAAGGCGGAACATCACAACAGGGGGAAACATCACCATAAGTTTCCGGGCCATCTCTCACATACATCAGCTGACCTACCATCGGACAATAAGCCTTCATACAACTCGTTCCGCAACGGATGTGCTTCCCCACCAAATGAACAACACACGTGCTATCTCTGCCCGTGCTACCAAACCCATTCCAGCGGATTATCCCTCAGTGATGTGACCTCAGAACAAAGGACGCATGGGAAAATTAGTCCACATAGCTTCGTCCAAAGAGGGAACAACAGCAAAATGGATAATCAGCAAAATCGCCGCGTCAGCAGCAAACGGGCAGATGGCGCAAAGCATGAAATACATCACCCCCCCAAAGACCCCCTTGCAGATGACTCAAATGGAAATGACGATACCTACTGCTACAATGTGATGACGTATCATTATAATATAATAAAAGGTACACACCATGTGAGTACTCCACGTGGAGGACGAAAGAGTGATAAGGCCCCTCAACTGATCGGGGGTCAACCCGTTGAAATTGGTGAAAAAGTGGCCCTGCCTCGAGGAAGAAACAGGGTTCAAGAGTGCCCCGAACGTGCGCCACTCCCCCGTGGAAAAAGACCCTCTGTACACAGTAATTGCACGGACCACCTGGGCCATGAAAGTCGCCAAAGTGAAAGCAAATTCGAGTCCACGTCAAACGAGGACGCGTCAGATACTCTGGAAAGAACACTCCCTGAAAAGGATCCATCGCATGTGCAAAACCAAACAACGCAAAAAGAGGCAAACCTGTCAGACCGGGAACATCTACCACACGAACCACGTCGATTCCACACAAACAATAATGATACCCCGGCCACATGCAGAAAGGAAATAAATTCTCAAAAAAAATTCCTCTTGCAAAAGTCCAAAAGTTCCCTACCCATGAGCCAGTGGGGAGAAAGCACACCTCACAGACACACCTCGCGCAGCAGCAACAACACAAAGCTAATCACATTCACAAACAGGGAGTTACAAAATGCAAGTAACAGCAACTCCAATAGTAAATATAGCAAAAAAAACGCAACACGGCAACACGAAATGTTAGACAAAATTGTGCAATTGGACATCAGTAATCAGGACCAAAAAAATAAAAAAAAAAACAAAAAAAAAGACGCATCGTCGTCATTATCATTCTCGTCATTATCACCATTATCATCCTCCGCGATCACAAGGGAAAAAAAATATTTTACGAAAAAAAAAAAAAAAAAATACACTTCATTTTTTCTCAAAAATCCAAAGACACAATATTTATTTGTACACATTCCACAATATTTTAAAAACATCTTCGATATGACCAAGAAAATATTTTTCGATTTAAAAAATAAAAAAGTGATCATGCAAAATGCAACTTGGAAAAATAAAATATTCATCCCGGAAAGGGACTCACTAGGATTATTCAAAAATGAAAAAATAGAAAAATGGTACGTGTCATGGATGGACGAATTTAACAGAAATATTATCGCCAAAACCTATTATATAGGCATATACCTCATCATGTATATAATTACTCTAGACTTTGTAACAGCATACAAATTGTACTACACAACAACGAGAAGAAACATAAACGGGGCATTAATCACACAGTACAATTACCTGCTCTACTACTTCTTCAAATCGATAATCAACATACTTGTGTATCTCCTATACATACTTTTTGTTACATTTAAAATACGAAAGGAACCCACATATAATATTAAGCGGTATTATTTTGTCACCCTTCTGCTTTGTTTAGCCAAGCTCATCATATCATCGTCCGACATTTACGTGGCAATCACCTCGCTAGATTACTTCATCAGCCCATACTACGTATACATATACATCCATATGCTAATTGTGCAGACGTCCATTTTGTTAATAATTCGATACCCTACCCATTATCTACTGTTTTTTGTTTACATGATTTGCTTCACTTCCTTATACTGGTCTTTCTCCATTCACAAAAGTTTTATGGAATTCATTTTTATCATTACTTGTGTGTCTTTTACCATTATTTATTCGTATGTACTTTGCTCCAGGACAGTGGAGATCAATCGGCGCATTTTGTTCTCCAAGTATGAGTTTCCCTACCTCTTATACCTCAAGGAGATTGCCGGGTGCCTCAACAGGCGACGATCCCAGGGTGGTGTCTGACGCGCTTGGCAGGAAACTGTGACCGGGAAGCGCCACTTAGCGCAGTTGACAACGGATTGTGTGGAAGTTGTCCAAGCTGACGTGAGCCGCACCGATATGAACCCATTTGAGATGAACCCAGTAGAGATGTCTTCCCACCCCCATGCGCGCTTGTTTTGTTTACAACTTTTGTTGCCGTTCTGGCGGTCCCTTACACACACTCCCTTTCACTGGGTTCCCGACGTGAAACATATTTGCAGACTTTCCATGCGGCCTCCCCCCGATTGTGCATCCCCCCGCTCCCGGGGCTAACTGCTAGATGCCTACGGAGGCCTCTAATATTTTTTTTGTGGCCTCATTTGTAAACCTGCTTTTTTAACCGGCTTTTTCAAGCGACTTTTTTTAAAATCATTTTTTAACCGCTTCTTGTCCCCTTCTTGCGGAACAAACTTCCACGTCCAATTTGAAGTTCCTATTTCTGATTCCCTAACAACGCCTTTTTATCTCCGAGTTCAATACTCCCACAACTTCCAACATTTTCCCCACTCGATTTAATTCCATGTTTTGCCTTGGCCTGTCCCGCACGACGGGGCGCCAACGTACAGGGGAACATTAACGGAGGAAGGGACAATCCTTCCCATTTCCACTGGCTTCACTTCATACCCTTTACCCTTTTTTGCGACTCCCTTGCTAGGCTTAACTTATGTTTCCCCGCTTTTTAAATTAGCCCAACCACCCTTTGCCCTCTCAAAGGAACCTTGCTTCCCCAGTTGCACAAATAAAACACACCTCACCTTCACCACACAACTTGAATTATTCCATTCCTTCGTAGCCTCACGAACGGGGCGTGGAAAATTTACGCACCTCAATCGCCATGGCAAAAATAATTATCACCATGTGTACGCACCTTCAATGTGAAAATTTACCCGCAATTTTTACCATTAAAAAGCTGGTTATATTATAAAATACGGCTTTACGCTCTACACGCACAAAAAAAAAAAAAAAAAAAAAAAAAAATATACTCACACTGAATAACCATGCGCAGTATGAACAAACGTGTGCCCCTCTCTAAGAAGCAGAAAGAGTTCCGCAAAATGTTCTACTCACGTATCCATTCATGCCATACATAAGCAGCTGCACATCCATTGCGATAACCTTTAAAATCTTTTGCTTTACAAAACATTTCGTCTGGCCTGTTCAACTCGTTTGAAGCCATAATAACGATATTATTCGTGCGAGGTACTTCTTCGCCTAGGAGTGTATCACCCCATCACTACGCCATTCCACTTTTTTTATCCAGCCAGGGCTAATTCATACATAAGAAAAAAAAAAAAAAAAAAGGAACACCCCAGGGGAAGTACCCCTTTCAGACCAAATATAATAAGTCCCCCCCTTTTGAAGTACATTCGTAATAAATGAACACAAAAGTGTCCTTGTTAATGCGTCCCAACTCGCCACAAAAGGTATGATCTCCCCAAAGCGCCAGCTCCTGTATATCTTTGTCCTCCCCATTTATAATTATATGCCCGAGCTTACACAACTCCATTCACAAGCACAAAACAAACCGTGCACACTTTTCAACACTCACAGGAAGATACGCTTCCCCCCTTCAAGATACGTTCAACCCAGGAGAGTGGAAAAAACTCCAACGTTCTTTTTGTCCCATCCCCCTTTGATAAGATGATCTTAGTAAGAATAAAAAAGGAAGTTCAAAAATAGAGCCACGTGAACAAAGCAAAATTTGTAGGAAAAAGTCTATACCTTTTAAAAATGAAATAAAAAAAAAGTGTAGCCCTCCTTTACGTCATTATACTGTGTGCAAAGATGTCTATCAACCACGTGCAATTTTAACGGGCAGATATTCTTCCTATCAAGTCTCATTCTTGCCGCATTAGTGTGCCCACGGCTTGGGCAAACATAATACGCATGCATTCACACGCGCGTTTTGCGGGAAGACAACCCAACTGCTTTGCTATAATGCGATAAATAGAACACGTTTCTTCGTGGCACACCCCTCCCTTTCGAAATTTGCATTTTCCTAATTTAAGTTCTATGCCATTTTTGTTTTGCGCAGAAAAACCGCTCCATTCGTTACTTGTCGAGTGAATTCAAGTCTCTCCCCAAGCCGGTTCGTTTGATTAAGTGTCGCGTTCTCTACACCGACGCTGATACATTAATGCGCTTGTCAGTGTGCACTCCAGGTGCACTTGCAACTGTGCTACGTACGGACACTTAAGCATAATAGCCACACCGACGTTCCCCCCCCCATTATCTTCGTAGCCCGCAGGGACAGGCGTCGTGTTTCATGGGAAATTGCAACAAGTAAAATACGCCATCAGTTTCCCCAGTTACCTGTTTATAATTTTTTCCGGGTTTATGGGAGCCATGTCAGGAAATTTCTTTTTTAAAAAATACATTTTGAGGAGAAACCCCCCCAATGTAAGATCCTGCATACGCGCGTGTCAGTGTGTGACTATGTCCAATAAGGCTTAAATTATCGCCCTATCCATTGCCGTAATCTCACTGGTGTCCCATGTTTTTTTTCTTATCGCCGCAGCCCCTGAGGGACCCCAACGACTTACCACCCGAGAAGCACCCACACACCCCTGAGGAGGATGATTAAAAGGAGGGAAAGAAATGAACGAATAAATATGTAGCCAAAGAAAGTGCCAAAAATGCACACAAAAAAGAGCACCCAACGGAGCACATTGTTGTAAAGGCCAACGTGCTCAACTACCAATATACACAGTTGTAGGTCAGTTAAGATAAATACAAAGAAGCCAATTGAAAAGTACTTGAAAATAAGTCCCAATTGATTGTTCGTAAGGTAGTCAGCATGAGCAGAAGTACGTACTGGTTAGTTGCCCTTTTTTAAGAATGATAATGTGCATTTTATTTGCCTTTTTCGTTTTATTGTAATTGTTTTAAAAAAATGCAAATAACGAAATTTCAAGATTGATCCACATTTTAAGTACACTCCTGTTTTATAGCTGATAAATCAGACCCATTTATCCTGCCACACTTGTACAATTACTTTTTGTATACATTTTTTCCTACCCCCGTTTTTTGCATTAACATGTTGCGCCTTTACTTTAAATAACACACAGGAATATTCCTGTTTTTTTCTTCTTCCCACCTCCCCCCTTTTTTATGTGAACACATTTGTCTAATGCCTTTAAAATAAAACTCTTTACGGAATTCTCCTTTATGCAATTTTATTGTTTAAAAATAAGGCAAGGAACATGTCGCAATGGCATACATATTTTTTTTTTTTTAAAAATAAATTCAAACATTTCTCTTCACACATTTGACCCGTGATCCAACTTGTGATGAAAGAAAAGTTGCACAAATTTATTCTCTTTCAGTTGAGCCACGCAAAAAAAAAGGTATGCCAGGTTTTTGTAATAAAAAGCAACATCAACTAATTTGTCTTGGGGGGACCTACACACTCCATCTAGGCAAATAGTTTTGTCCCTTTACAGGGGTTAACTCCCACGCAAATGTACACGTGTAGGAACTACGTTCTTACACATGCACAGACTATTGTCCCCTTTTTTTTACCCTCCATTAAGTTGAGAAGACAGTAGAAAGTTTCCATTTCGCTTATTTACCCCCCTAATAATACTATGTGACACACAGTTTTGAAATAATTCAGCTGCTGTGCACGTACAACATTTGTGCAAACTTTTCGACACACAATATGTTGCCTTGCCACACGTCCAATCCGACATGTTGCCCCTCACCCATCAGTAGAATTTTCTCACACATTACTATGACAAAGTATTTTCTGTGCAGATTGCTGTGTCACAAACAACACATATACTTTTTTAAATAAAGCCAATTTTGGGAAAAAAAAAACAAAAACATAACATTTCCGATCCCCTCAATGGAGGCCCAAAAGAAGTGCAATAACTCTAGCAGGTTAGCAACTTTTACGAAGGTCCCCCCAAAAAAAACAACACATCGGAGCAGTATATATCTGCGCAAAATATTCCCTAACCGATGATACATTGGATTCATTTTTTCTCCACCATGTGCAGGCTGATTTCTTCACCCGCCAATAAAGGAATAGCCCCACATGTTGACAAAGGTGTGATAAAGCTGTGTCAGAGCAGCGACAAAGCTATGCCAAAGCCGTGACACAAGATAGGGGGATCGCTCAAGGGAACGTTAATTCAATAGGAACAATCATTCATCCAGTCCGATGCTTACATATGGGTACTGACCCTCCATAAAAATGAGTTGCGCTTCATTAAACAGCGTACATTTTTTCCCCTTCGAAAAAAACGGAAAAGCCTTGAAATGTACCTCTATTTTGTCCTCCTCCTGCTTACACTCACCAGAAGAAACTACACCCTCAACATTAAGAACAGGCTGCACGTTCTGAATTATGTGCGTTTTAGCAACCCTAAGGTATCAATCAAAAACGGTACCTTAACTTATTTTACTAATAAGAATTCCAGTCGCCATGAAATATACAGGAAAAGATTCGAAAGGGAACTGAAGGAGACACTCCAATCAATTTTGTACAAAAAGGGGATTAAGATTAATTATAAGTACCACATTGATGAAGATATAATAGAAGGAATAGCGATTCATCGAGTCCAGCTAAATAGTGATTGTTCAGTGGCAAAAGTTTTTATCGAAATAATGGGAGACTCGATAGATTCCAGACAGGTACTGCACGATAAATTTAGCAAGCATGAATAAGTTTACTACTCCACTATGCTCACATTTTTTTTTTTTATGCCGCATGTTTGCACACAGAGTAGCGATACTGCTTCTACATTTTTGCAATTTCTGTCACCGTTTTACACCATTTCCTCCACAGGGCTACATATGGATAAAGAAAAACTGCAAACGAATTCGCTACATGCTAGCTCAAGCAATTAAACATCGGAAAAAAGTCCCATTTTTAAATTTCGTCCTCAGCAATTTAAGCGAGCAAACACAATTGCTTTGCCAGATGGAAAATATCCGGGAGTACTACGGAGAAATGTTTAAGGAGGACTTGGGGGAGTTTGAATCAAACGGGGAAGAAGCAGATGGGGAAGCGAATGCGGAAGAAAAAGAGAACACGCAGTACCCACAAAATGAAGAACTGGGCGACGAACACTAGTTACCCAAAACAACAACAAGGACAAAGGTCACGTGTTCCTTTCATGTCCACGCACGTGCTCGAGTCTGCTAATCACAGGTCGCCAGCATCTTTTCCTTTTTTTTTTGTGTGTGTGCTTCGTGAAAAAAGCGCAAAGTTGCTCATTTTCCTCCACATGTTGCATCTCTCAAAATTCGACTAACTTGCGAAAAAATTCATTTAAAAAAAAGCAACACATGTATATGCGAAGCTTTGTCTGTTGTGGTAATTAAAAGTTATGCGAAAAAACACACACATCGCGCAAATACAACATCACAAAAAAATATGAACCGTTCAGCTATTTCACAATTTGGAAAAAAAAAAAAAAAAAAAAAAAAAGGATGTGTGTACGAGTACAACAATATTTAGCTAGCTCAAACATTTACAAAAAAAAGAACAAAAATTAAAACTGCAAAAGTAATCCAACAAAGGGAATCCAGAAGGATGCTCCATTTCAAGGCTGCATGATTTGTTGTCTCACAAACGAGGTTTACATTAATTTTATGTTATCCAATTTTTGAAAAATGGACACACGTGGGTGAGTGTCAAAATGTGCTGTCGTGTAAGACAGAGGGGGCGAACTTCGTGAAATGCGACGCCCCCCTCCACTAAGCACTGAATGCCACTTTGGGTGGGACTCTCACACTTTCTTTTTTTTTTTTTTACGTGTCTCTTTTGCGACGTAAAATATCCCAATTCCCATCACAATGTACGTAAATATATGTTCATGTTATTTGGTAATTAACATCATAATGTCGCAACACCATAGAGGTGATGAACTCCACGACGGTGATATGACCACCACAAAAGATTCCTCTGTTACCATGGGACTATTTAACAAAAAGGTGCTCCATCAAATAGGCGTCTTCCTTATTTCCATAATATAATGGTTCGATTCCCTTCACTTTATAATTTAACACGTTATGGTACAAATTCAACGCGGCATAGTTGCTCACTCGAACATGCAAGCAAATGTTATGGACGTGGTATATATCATTCACAAATTGGTGTGTCTGTGTGATTAAATAATAAGCAAGCTTCTGCTTCCTGTACGTTTTCAAAACGGCAACTGAAGTTAAATGACCCTTCTTATCATTTTCTTCCTCCAACTTTCCTAAGGTGTATCCACAAACTTTGCCCTTTCCATCCTCTGCGACTTGGCTCAACGATGGCCATGATAACGCATGGTAAAAATAATATCTCATGTTATAATTTTCGGGCAGGTTTACGCTATTGCACTGTTGCATGGACAACAGGTCGTACACGTTGCTCTTCCTTATTGACAGCATTGGCGTAGCAAATGAAAAAACTGAAGGAAACAAAAAAGTGACGCTTCTTACAAATGCGAATAAAAAATATCAACAAAATAAATATGTGATTAATTTGAAAAATATGTTCCCCACATTTTTTGCCCCTCACAAATTACGCCGTGGCGCCTGTTGAATGGTCTCCAACTCGTAATATGAACAATGTAAGAAAGGACAAATGAGAAAAACTGCTATGCATCTGAAACGGCCAAAATAACTGTGACTCTACTTTCTTCCTGCCAGCTCTGCAAAAATGTACTTTTCTACCAAGGCGGGACCGTTATATATATATATACAAGCATACATTCTTGCAATAACGAATGTAGCGAATGATTATATTTTCGCAAAAATAACTCACAAAAAAGAAAAAAAATAATATATATATATATATATATATATATATATATGTATTTATAATCCCGTAGGTTTCTGTTCCCCCTATGTGTTCTATTCTTTTAGCCTTCATTTGGGAAAAAAAAAAAAAAAAAATACCTAACTGGTACATACCATATGTTCACTCTATCCCGGGCGTAGTGAGCTTCCCTTTTCGGTTTCAACTAACACTTAAGGGGTTATTTCTTTTCCCCTTTTTTGCTATTAAAGGAAAGTTAACAGAATGACAAATGGAAACTTTTCATAACCTGGTAATATATCTTCATTTTCCACTGCAACGTACAAAAAAACGGTCGCCGCAGTTGTCCGCGTCTGACGGTAATTCCACTCAAAACAGTGATGATGAACAACGGTCAAAAAACGGATGGAAAGAATTTGACACGCACGAAAACACACCAACGAGGTGATTAACTCAGTTCGCATTTATTTCTTCTTACTTCTAAACGAGAGGGATATATTTTCATAAACCCCAAACTGCACTGTTCACCTTTTTCCCAAATAAACTTTTGCGCCATAGAACGATGGTGACCCAGAAGTAATGTCACCGCACGTACACATTCACATGAAGGATAAGGGGGGATGAAGAAAAGCGTAACCCCGAACGGTACACTATCGCCTTTGCTGCGATACGCAAGAAACATACGTTTGACAGTATGAACGAGAAACACTTATAGTTTATTTGCGATGAGGCCCGTTTTTACATGTTTTCGGTTGTGTCTTTCCTAAATCGATGAATGAGGGAAAGTACGAAGCGACGGGGAAAAGTACTGAAAAAAACTAAATACTAAAAATGAAAGAAAAAATAAGAGAAAAAAGTAATACCAATTAATGTAAAAATAAAAACGCTAACTAATTACCAAAATGGACATGTTGGGGGGAGGAGCAGAATCCTCGCTCGTCCAACGGCGAAAGACGCTAAGAAAAATAGCGCTACGAAATAAGTGCACACCGCAAACACACTCGTGTGCAAATGCATTATAAGTCTACGTAAAAGCCTACTCGGGGGCGTCCCAAAACAGGGATGAACGCAAAAGCAAAAAATTGTCCGAGTACAAAAAAATGTACCAAAACACCCGCGCAACGAACATGAGATGATATATATCGAAAGGCTCAGCGGAGTACCCCGTAGAAGTGTTCTCCCCATTTATAGCCAATCTGTAAATTTCTGCGCACTGCATATTCTCTGGTATTCTCATGAAAACCTGATGCAGATTTATATTTTTGTTGAACTTGATATTGCTCAGTTTGAAAAACTGACCCCCTTTTAATTTTATATACCTCAGGGCTACCTCCTCGGGGGTTAAGGTATTGTACAGAGTAAAGGCACCTTCAAAAAAGTACCTCCACTCGTCCTCTTCTAACGTACAACACGAAATGTGAATCATATAAATTAGCGCCGTCTGAATCATGAACAGTGGATATATATTCTCCAAAGAAATTTGAATTTCATCAAAAGATACCAGTCGAGACAGAAACATATCATTTGACATGTGCCACTTGGGTACATATTTGTACGACATTTTTTTATTTGTTCTCACCAGTAATTCTTCCACTGCACTGGCACTGCCCTCATCCAGGTGATTGCTCGTACTGTATGGCTGTTCATTGTTCTCCTTTTTACGATTCGCATGTTCTAACGTCGAATGGGTTATGTGGTAACCTTGGTGGGGCACTTGTACTTTCCTTTCACTGTTTTTCTCCCCTGTTGATAAGGCTCCTTCCTCATGGTCATCCCCCACCTCATCATCCAAGCTGCTGGGAATATAATCCAAGGAACAGCTGCTCGACGTGTCTTCATATTCACCCCTATTGGAAGCACATTCCCTTCCCTTTCTCAAATAGCATTTGTAGTTGATGTAATAAGAGGACTCCACCATGGGATCAGCGTCACCATGTGGCACCCCTGCAGCTTTCCCATATTTTCCCGTCTCAACCCCAAAATTTGAGGACAAAAGAACGAACAATTTAACTATGTCATAGATTATTTTATTGCGCAGGAGAACCATCTCGCGATTCTTCCCTTCATACTTCAACAAATTTAAAAAAGCATTTCTCGAGTTAAACACCTCATTAGCTTTCTCACTTTTATACAATGATATAAAATGTCTACTCGGCACAGGGAAGTCGGGAATCACATAAGGGACATACCTCATGCTCCTCATGAAACCATTAAAGCTTATATGTTTGGGAAATATTTTCTTCTCACATAATATATGTTTAGGCAAATCTGGGTCAGAAAAACAGATGCCCCAGAACACTTCATCAACGGATGTGAAATTTGGATACCCTTTCAACTTGCTCAAATTTTCTGTAAATAATTTTAGAGTCCTTAAATTTATTTCTTTCACCTTGTTTCCCGCGTCAACTGTGTTGAAAAATTTTTCGTACGTGCAGGATACCTCCTCAATCGTTTCGCTTAGCCAGTATGGTTCGGCTCCTTCACTGCAGTGTGGACCACACTCACATGGGAATACCTCCGTGCCCACTTTTTCCCTCATAACATTGGTTTCTAATGAGTCCATGTTTAGCTTGTTCTGCTGATCCTCCTTCTTCCACTTTGCAAACCTAGCCGACATGTCACACTTCATTTGCTCTTCGTACGTACACTCTGAGTGGTGTCTTTTCCCCGTGTCTGGAATTTTTAGTCCCATATGCCGATTCGATTCTGTCGTCTGTGCCATGCTGTTCACATATCCTGTCTTTTTCTCCATATCCACTTCATGTCCTTCCAGGGGACATGCCTCCAAATGGGAGCTGTAGCACTGGCAGGGAATTACCCCTCCGTGTGCATCACTGCACCCCTTGACACAAGGTTCCCTGCCATACTTAGCGTACAACATGCTGGTCAATTCCAACATGTGACTGACCTCCTGCTCGACAACTCTCCCGTTCAGCGAAGTGCATCCCCTGTTCGCCTTTTTATACTCTCTCTCAAATTCAAGCAGTGCCTCAAAAAAATGCTGCACTGAGGGAAAACCATAATAGTACAAAATGAACTCTTTCATCTTCCTCATTTTGCTCTGTACCTTTTTCTTACGGACATACCTATAATAATCTGACTGGTACGGAGGATTGCCTGCATAAAACCCATCGAAGCTATTTTTCTCCTCTGATTCTTCATTTAAATCTTGTACCAACCCCTGATGCACATACAATGTTTTACTTGAGTCATCCTTCAACCCGATATCCTCTATATCTTTTACGAAGAAAAAAGCATCCTTGGGGATGAAAATTTTGTCCAAAAAAAAAAAATTATTTTTAAAATGTATATTAATTTCTCTTGTTAATTTGAGATAGTTCATTTTGTTCTTCATTAAATGTACGTTCGCGTTCTTCTCTCCATACAGACTTGAACTCTGCATCATTTTATTCCTCTGTGGATTCAACATGTAGAAACATCCTTTATTCTCCTCATAATCTAGAGGGTATGATTTTAACAGGCAAAATAAATTTTCCAAAATCATCATTTTATAATCAAAGTTCCCAACGTTCTTTCTGCAAAATGACTGAAAGTTTTCCCACATGACATATTCCTTAAAATAATTTTTACTCATCTCCTCGTTTATTTTCTCCTTCAGGAGCTCACAAAATTTCTCAATGGTGATGCTATCAGCCAATTTAAACTTCATGTACAAGTACCAGAATATCTTTTTCACTTTGTTAAGCTGTAAAATTTCATTAAGAGAAATGTCCAGGGCCCCCACATGTTCTTCTACCTTGTCTAGTAGGGTGGCACACCACTTCTCCGCCCCTCCTCCATTCGTGTCGATTATTTTTTCTCTGTCCCCTTCAGTTGTTTCTCCTCCCATATATCCATCCTGCGCTTCCTCTTCACGTCTAAATATCTCATCCACATATTTCGCAAAATACATGTGTGCATCACCTTCTTCCCTTTCATGGGTGCCCTTTCTTCCCGTCTTTATCCCCTCTGTCTTTTTTCTCTCTCCCACTCTACCGCTCCTGCGCCGTTCCCTCTCCAACAACATCAGTAACTGCATTATGCGCTTCATTCCTAAATCCTCCTCACAGCTCTTTCCTCGATTCTTTGCTTTCCCGCTGTCGTCACTTAAGTCGGGGGCATGCGTCTCATTATGTTCAACGCTGGATGCCACACTGGATGTCCCGTGGTCTATCCGCTCTGCGGAATCCTCCTCCTCTCTTTCGCTTCCATTTTCGAAACTCACTTCTGTAGTGAAGGACTCATGCGTTGACGACTTTGCCTGCTTCACATCGTCACTGCGGGAAGAACATACAACATTGTCACCTCCGCCTTCATCGTACGTTATGTACACATCTCGGGTGTCCTCCTCCCCTCCAGTACTCATGTCATGCATGTCTTCCGCGTGCTTATCCATTATAGAGGCGTCCTCCTGAAATGTATTCACGTCGCCTGGACAATTAAATGCGACCACATTATCTCCACCGTTTTCTTCATTCGTCTCCGTTTCTTCCCTTCTACTCAAGTATAACGGTTCCGTGCGTTTTCCCTCCCCAGGGACTTCTGCCTTCCCCAATTCTCCATCATTTTCTATAAGTACCTCACTCAACGATCTGGCAATGGTATGAATTATGCCTTGACGTCCACGCGGATCCTTCAACCTTCTTTCACCTTGTGGCGTAGGGTCTGGGATGATCCGGCAGACCCTCCTCGCAACACTGCCCAAACCGTCTTCACATGTTAAGCTGGACTTACTTGGTAATCTCCCTCCACATATTAAATTCGACTTATTCTCCACCCCCCCGCACGCGCCTTTGCGTGTCGCCACATCCACCCTTTTCATAAAGGGAGATCTGTTACTTCTACTCCCCTTCATCATATGCATATCGCCCTTCAGGGGGCACCAGTCTGTGTGTTGCTTACTCCTGCTTTTGCACAACTTGAGGGATTTATTTTCCGTTCCTCCATCAACATCCCCACAGTGATGCAGGCTATCACACAGCAGAGGCCTATCAAATCCGTGAGGCCCATCACTGGACCATTCCCCTTGCTCCCCTTTACTAATTATACTTGAAACGTTCCTTCCACGGATTGTCCCCGAATATGTGTGCAGAGAGCCACTTAGCATTCTCTCCGCCCTGCCTGAATTGCTTTCCAATTTGAGAGGATGTGGAGAATTTATTTCGCTGCTGCTATTGGGCAGCGTGTGTGTGCATGTCTTAGGGAGCATTGTTGAGTCCTTTTCATGGAATCCATCCTGAGTACAGGTCCCCCCATGGGGACTGCTAACAAAATGTTGCTTCCCCCCATTTGACTTCACACAGTTGGCGCAGCCGTGCAAAGAATTTTCCTCCATATTGGCGTAAAAAACAGTAGGAATATTGCCCTCGTTGTTTTTACCCTTGCAGGAAAAACACACACCATCACTTACGTTGTAACCAACTGGGCAACTCATTCCATGTGTATTTTTTAACTGATGAGTAAATGGACGCGCGCATCCGATATGACAATAATGAACTAAATTTTTGTCGTCCTGTGAAGTGCCCATTTCAGACAACATTTCTGTCGCGGGAGAATTTTTTTTTTTTTTTTTTTTTTCGTCTTCACCCTCGATGAAGCCTTGTTCCAACTTGTATTTATTTCCACACGTAAAAAAGGCTTCATTTATACGACCCTTTTGAACAAATTTTTTTGTGCATATTTGTTTGCCTTCCCCTGGGTTGCTTGCACTGTGGGCATGTAAATATTTACCTGGCCGATCACTTTTTTTTTCCCTTAAATGATAAAAATTATTTTGATCACAAACTGGGTATACGAGCACATCAATTTTTTTATGATTTCCTGATTTGTCACAAAATAAGACAGGTTGTTTTATTTTCCATTCGTCATTATCCACATTTTCGATTTTCCTTCTCATCAGCATATTATTTAATGAGTGTCCATTTGTATGCCCCGCATTTGGAGTATCCCCATACGTTGTTTCACTCCCCATGTGGGTTATGTATCCTCCTTTTATTTTTAACTTAGTACATTCTTCATTTGAATTGTCATATGATCTTCCCTTTCTTACACACACCTGCTGAATTTGACTGTTTTTTTTCTTTTCCATGCTCGCAAAGTTAAAAACGTTCATGTTGCTCTGTTTCACAATGATTTTTGTGTACGGCTAAAAAGGAGAACGGTCAATCCTAAAGTAGCACACTATATGTGCTGTAACACGGACTGGCTAATTTGTGTTACGTTCAGGAAGATGATATTACCGATCTACACATGTTACAACTTGTTTGTGCCGCAAAGAAAAGCGATAAAGGGGCTGTTAATGTACGCCTATATTTACACCGTGCTACATTGAGCGAGGTGCCTGGGCTAAACAAAGGTATCCGCGTCAATCACAGTTCCATGTTTCTTAATTCTCTTACAAGCGCTGATGGATATTTGTACAGAGTGAAGCACATACAACAAACAGGCAGGCAGGAAGACTAACGAATGGGCGAACGAACCAACCAACTGTGTGATCTACCGTTGTGCCTAAATGTACCCCTCGGCAAAAGTACCGGGGGATAAACGCACACGTAAACTGTTAAGTACACACTCGCGAAATAACAAAATTAAACACAACTTGGTACTTAAAAAGGGGAAAAAATGAAAATTTCTACACAAATAGATCGCTCATGGAACTCTCACTTGTCTACTAATCACACAATCTGACGCGTCTGCATAAGTGTTTGTGGTCTACGCACAGTCATCTTGGGTGTACCCGCAGTCCCCCCAAATTTGACTTCTCGCACATCCTCAGAAATAATCACTGTGAGTGGAATTTTTTTTTTTTTTTTTTTTTTTTTTTTGTTACATTTCGAAAGACTTGGTTACCACCACATGCATGCGTTGTTTGGGGCCTGGGTGGTAGACATTAAAACACTCACAATGATGTTGTTGAAATAGGAAAAAAAAAAAAATAAATAAAAGATACACATTTATATGCACTACACAGTGGCAGCGCAACATGATGGGACACGGACGCGAAACCGACGCCACGCAGACGCAACCAAATGTAACCACCCCTTTTACGAACAAAGTTTTACTGCTGGCCACATCCTGTCAACAACACCATGTTCTGGACAACGAAAGAAAACAAAAATGGGCCAAACGCACATGTGCTACACATAACACAGCTGTACGAATAGACCAATTATAACCCTACGCGCCCACGTGAAACAGAACTGCGAAAATTTCATGTGCACTGAATTGCATTCCTTCAAAGTGGAGCAAACAAAAAAAAAAAAAAAATAATGTCCATGTTGCTCCAACGTATTCTTACAACTGTGCATGCGTCACTTCAAAAATGTGCCAAAAAACATGGAACTTGAAAAACAGGCCAATTTTATTATTTCCCCCCCTGTTTTTTTTTTCTGTTTTTGTCCAATTTTTAAATTAAGCTATTCACAAGTAAATTAAATTGACTTACGTTTATTCCTAACAGTTATCCACTTTTTGGTTCAATTAAAATGCTTAAAAAAAACAAAAGAAGAAGCGCACAAGTGGCGTAGTAAAAAACGTCACAGGAAACGTAATAAAAAAGAGAGAGAAAAAAAAAAAAAAAAGTAAATTAAGGAGGAATGAAGCACTTCAAACAGAACTTTCAATAAGCACAAAAATTGGGCGTAACAATTCTCCTAACTCTTGTATAAAATGTTCCTCTACCACGTTGGTACTTTTATTGTACTCGTATATTTTACATCCCTTGTCTTCATCAAATTAATATTTTTTTTTTTTTTTTTTTTTTTTTTTTTCCCTGCCTAATTTACGAATCTGTTATAATAACTTCAACCTCAACCCCAGGGTCAATGTTGATGGAAGTCATCTGAGTAACAACCTCACATTGGGAATATAAATCAATGAGTCTTTTATAAATTCTGAGTTCGAATCTATCCCAGGTGTTGGTACCTTCACCACAGGGGGATTTTCTGGTTGTTATTCTGAGCGTCTTTACTGGTAGCCTCACCGGTCCGGACACGTTTAGGTTCTTCTCCTTTGCGCCTTTCATGATGTCACTGCAGACTGTGTAGTGAAGGGGAGGATGCAAATATTAGAAAAGAACGCACATAAAAAAAAAATGCACGTGCGCAACAACACATGCATACATAGGGGCTCCACCATGTGTACATAGTTCTGCTTATTATGAATAATTAGCTCGCCAAGGGCATTCAAAATTAATGTACTCTCCCATATGTGCGTCATGTTAAGGAGATCTCTTCTGATGAAATGGATGATTGCTAATCCCGCAGCACGTGCACGATTTTACGCAGCTCATCTGTCCCCATACAAACTCCCATACGTATACATATATGTGCACAGCGGGTTTTGTTAATGTTGCTTATACACCCTTTATGCTATGGTGGCCGTTATCATCACAGACTTTGAGGCTCCTTTCATTTGGGAACACATATCATATTCGTACAGTCTCGTTTGCACGATTGGCCAAGGTTTATGTAGACGCATGGCCATTTCACCAAAATGAGTTTGGCGCATCCCCACTCTTCATATACCCGCACGCACGCCTACATACTCTCATACGTAGTACGTACTCACGTGCTTGCATTTTTTTTTCATAAACTCTCACACAAATATATATTTACGCAGTTCGCACGCCATATCGCTCTTTTCTTTCTCCCCCTTGGGCAAGGCTAATACTACATTGGCGTGCGGTATGTTGTTTGCCCATTTGGGAAGGACGGGGGGGGCAGTTAAATTTTACCTTTCTCTATGGCCCTCAAACTCTTGGAAGTTAAAGCAATACGAATGCGACGAAGTCTAAACTTCTCGCTTTCAACGGCTCCTTTCATCAATTTACTCATTTTTCACAAAGCGAAATATGTCAAGGTAAATTTGCGTATAGGGTTTGTTAAGAAAAAAAAAAAATTTCCCAAAATTTTATTTTCCCCTTTTTCAAATTTTTACAATTTGCTGCGTCACGTACGTGGTAGGTATGTAAATACGATATGGTTGGTATTATCACTTGTTATTAATTTATCTCCTCCTTTGGAACATTTTTGTAAAATACAAGGCGCTTGAATTGTTTTTAAGATATAGCTTCATGCTTTATTTCTTTCATGCAAATGTCATGCAATGGTTACGATATTGTTAGAGATCATTTGAATGCATTCTTATATATATATATATATTTTTTTTAAATGTAAAGTTTAATGCGCGATGAGGTTATAAAAAAAAAAAATATTCAAGAGATCCAATTATGCATTTTTTGTGCTTACATTTACACGTATAAAAATTTTTGTTCCTACGATTACGGGTAAGTTATAAAAAGGGCCTATGGAACGCTAAAACAAAATTAATGAAATAAAAAAAAAAGGGATAAGATCACGTGGGGAAACCCCTACCACCTGTGTTCACCTTTTGTGCACGATGCTTAAATACTCTCGCCCGATATTATATTAATGGGCTTTTTCGCCGTTGCCATAAAAAGGAGCTACATAAACCTCCCTACAAGGAACATTTGTTTTTTACCGCAACGCACTGGCCACGTGTATAGGGTATGATGCATTATATTGGTATGTACGCCTTGACTCTCAACGCCTGCAACACAAGAGTACGAGAAAGGCACGAAGTAACATATTAACATGATTCTCAATTCATGCAAGCTCCATACAATGCCACATTAAATAAATGTACATCATGTCGATTATGAAAATATGTCGTCACAATTTTTATGCATTTTTATTTCCACTTATTATTATTTTTTTCTTTCCCCCTTTTTTGCCAAAAAGGTATTGTATGTGATATAGAATAAAAAACAAGGGCGGGGATACCCATCAGTATGCTGTAAAAAGGTGCACCCCTACATCACCATATGCATTTCTATATAAAGCCCATCATGTTGTCATTAAATTTATGCGCATGAACATCGAGAGGCACATATTATATTTTATTACATTTTTGCTACATTTGTTTATTGTATTTAATGCTGAAAAATTAAGGGGGGCCAGGGAAATGTAAAAACATATGGTAGGTCAACAAAATTTTAACAAATGCCTATATTAATCGCGTATTAACCATTCCGATTCAGCCGCAATGTTAGATAAATTTAAGTATGTTTTTGTTTAATACCCTTTTTGAAGCTGTTATTGCGACGGCGCATGACCTTGCACAAGCTTAAAATTAGGCACATCGCAACCTACGCATCTTGTGCTTACAAAGGACATATATTGAATTGTAGTTTTAAAACTCGATTACACGCCATGCGTGTGGGAATGGCATTTTTATATATATACCTTTTTGCTTCATCAGTAAAATGCGAAAAAGAACAAAATGGGGAAAAGGAACCATATACAGAGTAACCAATGTAGCTACCCCCGGTAGCCTTCATTTTAAAATAAAACAAAAATTGTTATGTCCCGAAATTTACCAGACGTCATTTTTTTTTTACCTGTATTTTTCCCTCTTAAACCGTTAACATTTTTCGAAAGCACAAAAGTGACAAGTTGTGCAAATTTGTAAACGTTACAAATGTGCTAAAAGTGAAGTGAATGTTTTATTTGTACATCACTGTGCATGTCCAGGTGAAGGCAGTGCCTCCGTCTATATAGATTCGTGTGAGCGATTACTTAAAGGTGTACAGTTTCAACTGCGCCACGTGCGTGGCCGCACCCACAATTTTTTGTCCCCACTGGAGTGGAAAATTTTCGCAAAACATTTACACATGTTTTTTCCCTTTTACCACATCTTACCTACTGAAAAGGAAAGAGGCCCTGTGCCGCTCATTCAATAGTTCTATGGGCTCTTTGCCCAAATAGCTAATTCGCAAAAATAGAAACATTGCATTTGTCACCCACTTATGGGCGTGTACCGTACGACAAAAAGGGCAAAGAGAGAAAAAAAAAAAAAATGTAACTTCTTATTAAATATAGCTACTTAACCAAATGAGAGAACTGTGTTGGCGTTTCATTATCCCATAAACATGAAGGAGGAGGGGAGTAGCAATTCACTTACGTCCTCAACCTGTGCAGTATATATTAAAGGATGGTAAATCCGTATATACACACATGTGTTACGCATGTGTACATACATAAACATGCCCATAATGAATACACCAATTATCCACACACAGGAAAAGCGTAATGAAAGTTTTTAAGAATTGAAATATGTCTCGCAGAATGGGAAAAATTTCATTTTCCAACATTTGGCTATTTCACATAATTTTCCTTTTTTGCAACATAAAACTGTGATAACTAATAGGTAGCAATTTTTTTTTTTTTTTTTTTTTTTTTTTTGTGAGAGATGGGAACCGTTATATGGGAATTTTTTTTATGAACAGCCATTTTTTGTGTGCACTTTTTTTTTTTTTTTTTTTTTTAATTTACAGCTATTTATTTAGATGTGTACAGTACACCTCTACAACCGGGTACCATACAATGTCGTTTTTGTGTGTACATTTTAAACAAGAGGAAAACAAAACAGCATAAAGGTGAAAAAAAGTGTACACATAATGTTCTTTAATTCAAATGTTATAAATTATCCCTAATTTGTGCGCACCAACCGCCTCTAAAATACTAAGCGTTATACGCACTCGCAAAGTTAGGTGAGTAAATTTACCTGAACTGTTCATGTGATAACCGCGTATTGTGCCGTAAAGCTATTTTTTTTTTTTTTTTTTTTTTATCTAAAAAGGAGTAATAACTAGTAATAGTGGCATTTGTGAAAAAGAAAAGAAAAAAAAAAAAAAACAAAACGAAAAAATAAACAAATGAATAAATAAAAAAGGAAACAAAAACAAACGACGAAAAATCAGTTTAACAAGTTAAAGGAGTTAAACAGGTTAAACAAATTAAATCTGAATGTACCAAGTTTAACGGATAACCGATTTAACGTGAATGCAAACGTTTTTCTTAATTTTTCCTTTCCTTCTTTCATTTCTTTTCTTTTTGTTTTGGTTTTCACCATTTTGATTAGCGTTTACAACTTTAACAGAACAGTTCTTCATCTTTGTTTTTTTTTTTTTTTTTTTTTTCCTTTTCCGCCCCGAGCTAGTATTGTATTTTGTTTGTGTGTTGTTTGTTCTGCCGCCAATTCGTTTTTGCGCAAATCTACTTTTCCTAAAATTTGTTCTGCCGCAAATCTGTTCTATTTTTTCCCCATTCGCCATTTCCAATTGCCTTCTCCCTTTTGCTTAATTTTCCACCGCGCGACATCTCCGCATTATTTTAAAACAAAAAAGTTAACACAGTTCAACACTCCACTTGCCACATTTCACATAAATGAGCAACCCGTGGAATTAGCCTGTTTTTTCCCAATAGTGCCAAATATTATCTACACCTTTTTTCCTAGTTGTTTTTTTTTTTTTGTTTTTTGTTCTGCCTACACAAAGGCTTCTTGTGTTCTGTGCGCCTCCTACACCAGACGAACAAAATGGAAGGCTCAGTTAAAAGTTCCAACAGCTTCCAAAAAGCAGATTCCATAGATGCCAAGGAAACCTCCACAGTTGACCGAAAATGGGTTGCCCTAACGGCGTACCAACCCGTCGACGTCGTCACCAAAACTGTTGAAGTCCCCGTTATCAAAACGGTAGAAAAATTTGTCCCAAAAACAATCATTCAAGAGAAAATTATCCACGTCCCTAGAAATGTCACCCACATTGTAGAAAAAATCGTAGAAGTACCAGAAGTTAAATATATAGAAAAAATTGTTGAAGTGCCACACATTCATTACAAGAATAAGTATGTACCCAAAATTGAAGTGGTAGAAAAGGTCGTGGAGAGACAGAAAATAATCGAAAAATGGCATGACAAAATTGTAGAAGTACCTCAAATTAAGGAAGTGGTCAGATTTAAAGAAATAGAAGATGCTGAGGAAGTTATTAAATACATTCCAAGAAACTCAAAAAATATTAACTGGGAAGAGGAGTACCAAAAGTATACGCAGACAAAGGGACAAGAGAGATACAGCTTGGATAACAACAGCTATCAGCAGAAAATGAGCTCCTATAATGAATATAACGAGAAAGCATACTCACAAAATGCCTACAGCAGAAGTCTAGATTATTTGAGCAAGCAATCTGCCAGTCTAAATAATCAGAGCAATCTGAGGAGCGAAGACTTTTCCCAAATTAATTTCTTCAATCAGTACAGCGGAAGTGGCGGAGCAAGTTACGAACAACAGAGAAACAGCCTCCCAACCTCCAGCTTCGAAGCTCGTGGAAGCTTGCAGTTGAAGAGATTGCCCTCTGAGGAGGCCAAACCCGTCGGCTGCTGCACGTCCGCTTGCATCTGATTGGGTTGGCGTTTAGGTGGCAGGGGAGGGTGATCGGCTCTCCGTTATCCTATTTTTGAACTTTATCCCCGGCGCGTTGTAAGATGAAATATATAATGGGAATTTCGTGCGCGTCCCCCTTTTTTTTGTGTGCAATTATGAAAGTGCTGGATCCACCGACGGCCGCGTCTTAGCAGCGTTGTTTCGACGTTGTTCTGACGCTGTGCCATAGCGGCGCCCTGCCATTCCCTTTTCAAACTGCATTAAGTGCAACAAAACAAGACAAAAAAAATAATAATAAAATAAGCAAATATTTTAATGTATTTTTTCCCCTCCGGTAATGCGTCTTTCACGAGTGTTACCTTAAAAAAAAAAAAAAAAAAAAAAAAGCGAACTGATACAGGATTACACCCATACATGATTTTACCTCTATCCATAATTTACCCACAGACGGGTGCGCGTAACAAAATGTGGCTACGCCATTCCGTGAAAACTGACACTTTTTCTGTCCTTTTTTTTTTTTTTTTT